TGTAGCTTCTGCTCCCCGCTGTAGCTCCACAACGAGAGACTCCCACAGGATGACCAGGGTAGCGGCTTGAAGCTACGGGCTAGCCCTTCAATTCAAGCTACACAGCAAGCTCCACCTCTCAGTGGTAGTCCGGCTACAGCGTATCGCGCAATCTCGCTCTCAATCAGATGCTACGCTCTCAATCAGGCGAATATGTTGTTAATGGCAAGTGTGGGTGCATGGCTAATGTGCTTCCCCCTGGGTTGTTGTAGTTGTTGTTGTTGTTGCCGTTGTTGTCTTCACATTAAAAACCGTTCCGATCTCCCTACCCACACGCATACGTTCTTCTGTCCGTACTGTATACTGCTGTGCTGATCAAACCGAGCGATTTCCCAGTGGTTGATCAACAGTGTTGACACCATGCAGCCGGAGAGCGGATCCAACAGTTTTCAAGATCCGCTCGATCACTCGGCATCTGTTCCGAATCTCCGAACACAAAAGCTGTGCATGAAAGCCTCCTCGAGTAGAGACTATAGCCGTGCCTGGACGCACAGCAGTATCACAGCCGACTGCCGCAGGGTGTTGAGCCGTTCTCCGTGGCTCTATACCACTCCCTCTCTAATACTGTAGTTGTACACTAGTACACGCAGTAGTGCATTCGATTGGCATCCAAATAGAAGCCTGCGTCTGTAGTCTACAGCCGTCCCATGGTCAACCTTTTGAGACAACTCGGTGCAGTGGCAGCACAACTGAATCGTCTGCTACAAGTCTAGACTATGTATTTAATGTATGCATAGGTCGACTGCTGTGGACTACACCGCTCGCTCCCACAAAAACAAAATTTACACAATTAAATGTTTCATGTATACCTTTTTTCGTACCTCGCCAGTGACTGCAAACATCGTGGGTGTAAATGCACCTATGGTGCGGAATTCATCCTGGAAGAAAGTGGAGTTGGGTATTTGGAATCGAGTAGAATGAATTTTTCGTAGATCAGCCTGCGTGCGATTATCTTTTCCTTTATTGGTTAGTGTCCCGTTTCTTTGTTGAGCAATTCCTGAAGTAGTGTTGTTGTGTTATGTTCAAATATCGTTACATGTCTATGTGCAAAATAAGAACGCCTGTCTATAAATAATGACATAAAAATCATGTTCAAATTGCTTGTAGCGCTACCAAAATTGTACACGCGTACTTTTGTAGGAACCTGATAGCTTTTAGCGATGCGAAAATCTGTGGGTAACCGCATATTTAACCGTCGAAACCGCAAGGGGGAACACTGAAAA